CAAAGAAAAGGGAAATAAGTAAGGGAAAACATATAGGAAACGGACGGAAGGTAAAGAGGAAATTGAAAGGAGTAAGTGAAAAGGCAGGAAGAAGGGAGAGAGAAAAGGGGGAAGGGAGAAAAAAGATAATATTAGCCATAGTAATAGTAGTAGTGATAATGAACATCGTATAGCAAATCAACAGTAAAATAACTATAATAATGAAGAAATGATAATGATAATTATAGTAATTGTAATAATAATAATGATAATGATAAAGAAAATAACGAAAAAATGACAGAAAATAGAATCAAAGACGAAAATAATGATGTTAATAATAAAGAAAATAGAAATTCTGGCTATTATGATTGGGATGATAAAAATAATGATGCAAAAACCTAATAATAATATTACTAATATTAGTAATAATAATGATAATGATAATGATAATTATAATAATAGCAATGGTAATATCAACAATATAACAATATCAATTATAGTGATAATGATTACAAAAGCAATACTAAAACTAACAATAATAACAACAACAACAAAAACAACAACAACAACAACAAATGCAATAATAATAATAATATAATAATAATAATAATAATAATAATAATAATAATAATAATAATAATAACAATAATAATAATAATAATAATAATAATTATAATAATAATAACAATAACAGTCATGATAACAATAGTATTAATGACAATGATAATAGTAATAGTAATAATAATGATAATAATGATAATAATAATAATAATAATAATAATAATAATAATAGTAGTAGTAGTGATAATAATAACAATAATAGTAATAACAAAAATAATAACAACAAAAACAATATTGCTCGTAATGTTGATATTGATAACAAATAATAGTGTGGTGTGCGGGTCAGTATCATGAGCGGACCTTCACCACTGAATGAGCTGATTGTGACCACTCCCTTTAAAATAATACTTAAACTTATGAAAATAAAATAAGCAAACGAAAGGACATATGTGCAAAAGGCTTAAAATATTCTGGGAGAGCATTAAGGGACGTTAAGTCAGAGCCGTAGAATAAATAACAGATCTTCCTTTATTTATAGGAAGCTACATGGTATCCCGTGGCCTTCCGGATTAATCACCGATGAAAAGAGCTAGTCCCGGAAAATACATAAATCCCCGAATACTTAACTCGTAGAGCAATAAAAAAAAAAAAAAAATGTCCTCTCAGTTCCTCTCGCCACAATCAACTGGCCGAGAGGCGGGAATTCGTGGGTCCTCAATCATGGTTAAACATTATATTTATTTCTTATGGTTATTGGTTTTACTATATATATATATATATATATATATATATATATATATATATATATATATATATATATATATATATATATACACACACACAGGGAGGTTCTTTGACAATATTAAAAGTACAGGTATTTTGCTATATATTGATGAAGCATTTGTTTAAATTATATCGAAAAAATATATCTCGATAGGTGGCGCCCTCACAACGAAAACGACGCCATGGGGGGTCTAACTTGAAATCACTGGCCCTCACGGGGACACTACAACAGTAATAACGAAAATTAATAATAAACAATCCTTATCGCCACCATGATCAACTTCATTACAGCTATTATCACTATCATAACCATCGTCCTCTATAATGATCTTTACGTCAAACGTCAGTCAGCTAATCAAACCATTACAGACGCAAACACTAATGAGAGCGGAATGAACATATTAGGAAAAGAAAATATATTTAATGACTACGTGAGGGTTTAGACTAAAGTTTCCTACCAATTCCACAGTTATTCGAGAATGAAATTCCATAATTTGGTATTACTTGGAGAAAATATACCTCACGATGGAAGTTTTCCTACACGAAGGTTATTTAATTTGGAGATTTGGAAAGTAAAAAAAAAAAAAGGCCCTGACCATAATGTTTTTTTGTTTCTCTCGGCCTTCAGGAAAAGGTAATTTTCAATGCCTTTCAGATTTTCCACCAGGTCTGTAATTATGCAAGGTCATTCTGAAAACCAGTGGTGGCTAAAAGGTGTACATTATGTAAGAGTGCTTGCAATATAAAACACAGGATATCGCATAATAGCTGCACATTTACAAGCGACTAATTTATGCTCACTCGTCCATACGATGTTAATAAATTAGTAAACAACACACTGTCTTTTTTATTTCATTTATATTTCTATTTGTTACAAAATGCTTTCAGGAAGAAAATATGTCTTTTTGAAATGTTGGATGAGATATGATCGTGTGCGAAGGGTGCTTTATTATCTCCAGCCCGCCGCGAGAGGATTAACAATGCATGCTTTGTACTGCCGGGAAGACCAAATAAATAAAGAGAATCAGAAATCTGGGGAGGCTTCTGGTCGTAAAGTGTTTTGTACAGCACGAACTTCCACAAATTTTAGGCCTCATTTTAAGATGCGAATCCACATTATAAAAATAAAACGAGGAATAAAATATAAAATAAGCCTGATTAGAATGACAAATCCCATTCAATATATCAAGGGACACTCCAAATACATTAAGGCTATATGAGAGAATTTTAACATTTATTTCTTGCGCTGGTGGCGTTGGCAATATTACTAATATTAGTGATAATTTTGTTCGGACATAAATCTATTGGGTTCTTTTTTTTTTAGTCCTTTCCCACTTTTAAATCTTAAGTAATAAGAACTTCTATATTGTATTAAATGCCCTCGTTTGTTATATATATATATTTTTTATATACGTATTTGCACTCGCTGAAATTCCAAAAAGACATTTTCTTTATGTTCATTTCCAAATATTAGTGTTGTTTTTCTTTTCATGTTTACGCTGTTATTAATGTTCTTGATTGTTCATTCATTCATACTTTCATCGTCATCCTCGTCCCTAGCAGCAGCAGTATTATCAGTATCATTAGCATCACTTACGTTCTGTTTGAATATGAGTATCCATTACCTTATATTTCAACATTTTTGCTGGCACAACGTTCCTCATTTGAATTTATTGGAGTTGGGATATTTTTAAATAAATATTTTGTAGTTTGTACGTCTCCAACGCCTATATATATATATATATATATATATATACATATATATATATATATATATATATATATATATATATATATATATATATATATATATATATGTATATATATATATATATATATATATATATATATATATATATATATATATACATATATATATATATACATGCACACACATGTGTGTGTGTGCGTGCGTGTGTGTGTGTGTGTGTGTGTGTGTGTGTGTGTGTGTGTGTGTGTGTGTGTGTGTGTGTGTGTGTGTGTGTGTGTGTGTGTGTGTGTGTGTGTGTGTGTGTGTGTGTGTGTGTGTGTGTGTGTGTGTGTGTGTGTGTGTGTGTGTGTGTGTGTGTGTGTGTGTGTGTGTGTGTGTGTGTGTGTGTGTGTGTGTGTGTATATATATATATATATATATATATATATATATATATATATATATATGTACATACACACACGTGTGTGTGTGTGTGTGTTTGTGTGTGTGTGTCTACGTGTGTGTGTAGGTGTGTGTGTGTAGGTGTGTGTGTGTGTGTGAATATATATATATATATATATATATATATATATATATATATATATATATATATATATATATACATATACATATACATATATATATATATATATATATATATATATATATATATATATATATATATATATATATATATATATATATATATATATATATGTATATATATATATATATATATATATACATGTGTATATATATACATATATATATACATATATATATAAAATTTTCTTAACTCGACGTCTATTGGTCTATTGGCAGACATAATTACCTACACCCACCTGGGTCTAATTAGCGCCACGTGCAGTTTAGCATGCTCTTTACTACTCCCATCGCGTATCCATTGGGTGAGATGGAGAGGTGATTGGTTTGTTGCTCAAATTTACCTTTGATCACATAAAACCCTATTATTGCCAATGGTAAGCATTTCTTTGAAGAAGGACGAGTTTGGTTTGTGATTTTATTTACGTAAAGTAGGCATTACTTGTTGCTGTTACTGTTTTCGAAATCTATGTTTCACTTCTATTTTTGAGAAAATCGGTTTAGAAAGGATAAACAACTAATAAGACTAGTAATAATCATCAAAATTTTAATGCTTATAGTGCTGTTAATAGTAATAGTTATGATAATGACGATAGTAATATTGATCATATTATTAATAAAAGTAACGATGGTGATTCGGAAGATAAAGATGATGATGATGATGATGAGAGTGGTACTGATGAAGAGGATGAGCCCTATTATGAAGATGTGATGATGATAACGACAATAATAAAAGAATAACAATTATGAGAAGTGAAATATCAAATAATTGGTAGCTATTGATAATGGAAACGATTATGATTATCAGTATGATGTACTTGATATCTCCGCTTATACACTCAATTATGAACAACCGATTTATCCTTTCTCATTAACGTGATCGATTTTTCGTTATTAATCACTTCATTCATTGTTTTATAACTCGTTAAATTCTTGTTTTTAACTTGTGATTGGGTGAGTGTCCAGTCAACTTACTGAGATTAGTTAATATAATAATAAGTAAGTAATGAACAAGTAAAGTTTTCAATATTCAGGTAGTTTCTGTAGGATCATTGACAGACAGACATTCAAAAAGACAATTTTTAGCTAATTCATTTTGGTTTGTGATGCCATGTGTTAAATTTTCTCTCAGTTACGGAGAAAGGAATAAAGACATAGATGAACTGCGTTTATATTTCTTTTATGTGTGAGGATAGTGGCATAAAAGGTTGTATTTAGTAATTAATTTGATAACCCCTTTCATCTCCACACATATATTATGAACCTGTTGCTACAAGATAAACAAAACTGATGTAATAACTTCTGGTTATTACGCATGGTAATTGAACTCGCAATTGAGCGTATTAATATCGAGTCTAATTTGGTCGTTTAAAGATACATATAT